ACATCACATTGCTATCTTTTTAATACAGATAACCTTGTAATGTCTTCCACTTATGTCAAGGTTCGCTTTACAAAAGCGTTAGCTGTAACTCAAAAACCAGTCGTGTAAACCTCACAAACTTTATATCAACAGCTTGTCAAAAGGAGAATCGAAAAATACGAAAATGTGCTGCAAAATTTTGAGAAACACTTTGTTTTGCATTCTGGATCACCCGGTATGTACTATCAAAAAACTGAAAAAATAAGAAGCTAGGGAGCATATGTGGATTCATATTTTTGAGGAAGAATTCAGTTCTCTTCCTATAACAATTGCGGAGGTACGAGTTGTCAAATTTGAGTGTTTTTTTCGTTAGATTGTCCAAAATCTCAACGATTTGAACGTAAAATGTAATAGTATGTTGCACGAAATTGCTTCGCCTAGAAGAGCAAAAGTTGCCTTGAGATATAGGGCATTTCATTTAAACAAATGTTTGTTTAAGTCACTACATAGGCGTAGTTAGGTGTCGCCCTATAGAGTCAAAGATATTTTGCAGTAGCATACTATTGGCTCTAAGTTTTGGCTTTAACTTTTTTAGATATGTTGCTATTGACTAATGTCAAAATAAAAACTCACCCTGCCTGTATTAGCTTCAGATATAGCATTAATAGTCCTTAGTCTACACCTTACTTCCTTACGGTTAATCATAATGAAGGCTGAGATGAGATACAGCTGAAAAAGACGCTTATACGTAGTTATACGAGCCCCTTCCCACTTCAGTTGGCCCAACTATTGAAATCTTAGTTTTTTTCTTATCAAACACAAATAATAAAAATGTAGCAGGGCGTTATAGGTTTAAAATATTGACAATGGATATTTTGATAATATATAGTAGGAAACACCAACTTTAGCAGTCCCTAATCAAATTTGCAGCATAAAAATAACACATGTTACAATTACAGCATATCAACCTATTTTCATTTCAATGCAAAATAAGTCTATAACGCATAGGTGGCTGTGAAAAATAAAAGCCATGACAATTTTTTTTAATAACGACAGCTGTCAGAATACGTTTAAAATAGTTTTGGGTAGTTAAGGTTGTCAAACTATAAATAAATAAATATAACGTAACTGGTTCAGTTAATATTAAGCCACGATATGTGAAAAAAAGTAATATCACAAATGCCCACCGAAGAGCATGAAGAAGAATTATCGTGAAAAACAGGCGTGCGAATTATTTACAATTAAGTGCTCTGTGGAGTGACGCTATTGGAATGAGAATTTCGAGGTCCACAACTCATAGAGAGGCCCACAAACTGGGATTAAGCACATGCAAGGTAAGTTTTCTTATAAAAAAAGTGAAGTAAAAACCCTAAAGTTGCACAACTTGTTTATAGGCCAAAGAAAAGCCACTATTAACTCCACTGCAAAAGAAATATCAGCTTAGATGGACTAAAGAATATAAACGATGGACACCTCAACAATGGTGTGCAATACAATGGAGTGATGAGGCCCGATTCGAAGTTTGTGTTGGGGACAGTCGCAGTAGAGTTATTCACAAAAAATAAAGCATTCCATGTTGACTGTCTGAAGAGAAAAGTGAAATTTCCAGCATCCATTATGGTCTGGGGCAGTATGTCATCAAAAGGAGTAGGAAGACTTCATTTTGTCGATGGAAATGTGGATACAAACAAATATTTGGCAATTTTAGAAGAATCGCTTTTACCAGTGATGAAAGAATGTTTGACATCCGGCCAAGATTTTGTGTTTCAGCAAGATGGTGCAGCGTGCCATACCTCAAAAAAGGCTATAAAATGGAGGGAAGAAAATAATGTACCACTTTTGAAAAGGGTTTCTAGCAGTCCATATCTGTCACCTATTGAAACTTTGTGGCACGAGATGAAAAAGGTTCTACAACAACATCCTGCTGGTACAATCACCGAACTGAGACAAAATCTTCAAGAAATATGGGATTGTTTTACACCAAACTTTTTTTTTTTTTGTTTTTTTTTTTATTTAATAAACCGCATCGACCTATTGGCCATTAGCGGTATCGGATACAGTACGTTATATTTTATGTAGTACATTACAAAGCTGTAAGAAGTGTATCAGGTTGCGTATGTTACAATTGGGTGCTAAAATGTCACTCAAAGCCATCGATGTAAGGTTGCATTCCACTCTATGGTGTTCTAGTAATGGGCACTGCACTAATAAGTGTTTCACGGTTAGGTTAGTTTCACATATTTCACACATAGGTTCTGGCTCCTGGGTGATGAGGTGTTCATGAGTGATCCGGGTGTGACCCAAGCGGAGTCGGGTGATTAGGGTTTGGTATCTTCTGCTTGTAGAATTTGGAGTCCAAGGTCCGAATTTAGGTTTTAATTCGAGAAGCTTCGATGGAATATTCTGCCAGTTATTATTCCAAGTTTCAATCACTCGGTTTCTGAGGAGAGCTTTGATGTCTGAAGCTGGGATGTTCACAGAAGATATTCTTGCGAGATTTGCCGCCAATTGAGCCTGAAGGTCTGCTTTTTCGTTGCCCCTGATACCGACGTGAGAGGGAGCCCATACGAGAACAACATTGTGGTTTTCTGATTGTATCGCGTGAAGGATCTGTTTAATTTGGAGAACTATGTGATTATTTGTGTAGATCTTCTGGATGAGCTGGAGAGAGCTCAAAGAATCTGTTATGATGAGGCTCCGTTGGATCGCTTGATTGTGTATGTGTTTCATAGCTTCCAATATTCCATATAATTCTCCTGTTAGAATTGTAGCTTCATCTGGCAATCGCATTGTAAGGGTGTTGGAGGATGTCACAACAGCTGTTCCTATTCTCTTGTTAAGTCTTGATGCGTCTGTGTATATTTTTTCATAGTTCTGATATTTGTTCATTATTTGCTGGAAGTGTTGTATTATTATTGTCGCTGGTGTGTCTATCTTATTCATTTTTGTGAGATCTTGGTTGATGGTTGGTTTATGTATGGTCCAGGGTGCGGTGTCTGTACTACATTTATTGGTGTCCATGGGTATCTGGGAGATGTCGATCTTCCTCAAGTAACTATAGATTCTTCGGTAGAATGGCTTTTTGTTAGTTGTATCAGGTTGATCCATCTGCAACTCCCTATTAATCTGTTCTATGTTCTTGTGGCCAGGGATATTTGGGTTTGATGCGAGCTTAGTAGCGTATGCTAGGCTCAGAAGCTCCCTTCTGTCATTCAGCGATAGTTCACCGGCTTCACAATATAAGCTTTGGATTGGTGTTGTTCTAAATGCTCCGAGTATTAAGCGCAGTGCTCTATGGTGTATACTGTCTAATGGCTTGACAGTGGAACTACTGGCTGAGGCGTAAATTATGCTTCCATAGTCAATTTTAGCTCTTATCAGTGATCGGTAGATGCTGAGAAGGGTTTTACCCTCTGCTCCCCAGTGTCTCTTGGCTATATATTTTAGTACGGTCATCCTTTTTTCACATGATTTAACTAGATATTCTATGTGCTTTTTCCATATCAATCGGTGATCGAATATAAGTCCAAGAAATTTGATTTCTTGTGTTCGTTTCAAGGATACATTATTTAGTTTTAACGGTTCTCTGGAATGGGTTGTCTGTCTTCTCGAGAATATAATATATTTGGTCTTGTCAGGCGAAAATGATAATCCGGTACGTTTGGTCCATTGTTCTAACTTGTGTATTGTTTTTTGTATAAGTTCAGTGTTGGTTGTAAGGTTTTTGCCTCTCACATATATTATCATATCGTCTGCATAAAGGCGTATTTGAACTGGCTTTTCTACATAGTTTATGATATCGTTGACAGCAATCAGGAATAATGTCGGGCTGATGATTGATCCTTGGGGGATACCATTTTCCAAGATTCTAGTTTTTGATAAAACTCCATTTGAGCGGACTTGGAAGCTTCTGTAGCTCAAAAAATTAGTGATAAAAGCAATAATATTTCCATTATATCCCCATGCTTGTAGTTTTGAGATGATGTCATACTTCCAAGTAGTGTCAAATGCTTTTGTCATATCAAAGTAAACTGCTAGGCAATGCTGCTTGTTATCAAAAGCTTCATGAATGTATGTTTCCAAGTCAATTGCGTTGTCTATTGTGGATCTGTTTTGTCTAAACCCAGATTGTTCATTTTTTAGACGATTGGTATTTTCTAGGCTCCATAGCAGCCTCTTATTGACGATTTTCTCTAGAAGTTTACACATAGCACATGTTAGAGTTATTGGCCTGTAAGATTCTGGTGCAAGAGGTGATTTGGTGGGTTTCAGTATAGGTATCGTAATTGCTTGGTGCCATATGTCAGGAAATACATGTTCTGTCCAGATTTTGTTGAAGATTGTCAGTAAATATTGCTTAGCTACTTGGGGTAGGTTTTTTAGAAATATTATAGGTATATCGTCAGGGCCTGCCGAAGTTTCCTTTAAGACGTTGAGTGCTTCTTCCATTTCGAGTTCTGAAATTGTACACCAAACTTTGCCAAAACTTGGTTAACACTATGCCCCAAAGAATTTCAGCTGTAATAAAAAATAAAGGTGATGTTACCCAATGGTAATGTTTCAATTGTTGCTTTTTAACTTAGAGGTAATTTTCGTTTAGTTGTTTAGTTTATAAAGGCATATTTTGGTACAAATCTTGAAGTGGGCCAACTGAAGTGGGAAGGAGCTCGTAGTCACCGTTCTTGGCGTTTACGTCGTCAACGCCATATGAAATAAGTAAACAGGACGAGTCTCCGTATCCTGCACGGAACTCTGACGGAATAAATATGATTGAAGGGCACTCATACGTTTTCGAGACGGAGACACACAAGTTAAAAACATATGTCTTTTAGCTTACCGAACAAACGTTCACACACAGGGGTAAGTTGCGTGCCCCATCAACTAGTTGTAGATTACTTCATTTCGTCATTATTAGTGCTCGTCGTGATGACACACTTTTCGGGCGGAGAATTCCTACGCCTATGGTACATATTATGATGATCCTGAGACGGATCGCGAGATTAACGTCAGATTAAAGATTGATGAGAACTTTATGTGCTTCTCGTTCTAGCCCAGCTGACCAATGCATGGTGCAGATCTGTGTTATCGCTCGTGTAGTGAACTAACAGTTTGAAAACAATCGAAAATAATGTTTACAAAAACGTTTCATAATGCTTATCTCGCTCAATGACTAGCTGAAACATATCCTTAGCAGCTATAAATTCAAATCCGCATCGGGCTTCACCGTCCAGTTTTTCCTTGCAAGACCCAAAAATAAGTGTTCTCAGTCTACAACTCCAGTCTGTTCAGAGTTGAGTGGCATAATCCAGCACTGGTATAAGAAAAAAGGTATTTAAAAATTTATTAGTCTGTAGAATCTTCTAGAATAGATAATTAGTGCAACAGTGACCCGATATCATTATTTCTGATACTGAAAGAACGTATGTTATTTGGATTCGTAGCTTGACTGGATTTAGAACACAAATTAAGGAATTAGGAATTATACAATAATATATACTTCACACGTGCTATGTTGTGGCTTCTACAACTTAAACGAAGTTTTACCTTCACTGGCAACATTTCAAAAAGTGCATTTAATAAGGTATGGAAATAGATATGGACGGGAGGAGGATCATCTGTCTTTACATATGGAGAATTTTATAATAAATGAAATAATCTGTCCCTTATATTTTAATTCTGTTGAATATCTTGCAAGATTAATTATAAAACCGTTGAAACTTCTACTTTTGCTAAAATTGTGTCAACCTTAGGTAAGTGAAAGTAAACTGGGAACAGTAGAGCAGCAGGCTCATTTGGAAAAACGGCATAAGCAAGTTTTATTTAATTACTCTGTAGATACATTTTGGTACTTAGAAACTTGTGTGATGATGACGTAACCGTTTCTCATCCTACTCCAGCTTTTACGTTCTACCAAGTATTGTAAAAACAGTTCAAAGAAATCCCTGACCTCTTTGCAATGAAGCCAGAGTCAACTCAATCTATGCCTAGTTTGTATGTTCCATGTTGTGGCTTTTTCACCAAGGAGGAGACTAGGCAAAAGTAAATAATATATGAAAACTATCCCCAAATGTTTACTAATATAAACTTTGCTCAAGAAACTTATGAATTTGAAAAGAAATTTGTTTTCGTCAGGTAATGAAAATTTCGCAAACTTAAAAATCCGCTGTATCTGAGCGGAAAATCGCAGCAAACCTCATTTTAACTGATTTTCACCAAGTTCTGACATTTTAAACGCAAAATATCATGAGTTGACTGACGTGAAAACTCGACAAGCTCATGTATTTTAATCCATTCTTCCTGGTTCCACAGTCAATATTTTGACTTGTCTTCCGAAAATTCTTGTAAACAGCTGGCTATTTTCAATTTCTGACGTTTTTTTTTTGGGAAAGAAATACTTAGCTAACACAGTAAGCCATTGTGTAATAGACCTCTTTATGTTATATCCAGTTCCGCGGTCAAAGCAATGATTTCTTGTCGGGAAAATTGCCAGAAATTGGAAAACGCATCTTCACATATTTTCTCAAATTTTTAACATTTCAAACATAGGATACCATACGTTAAAATCTTAGCGTATACATGTATTTTGTCTAGTCTTTCAGATTCCACAGTAAGCATTTTAATTTATTTCTCGGAAATATACCATCGGAAATACCACATTTTCCCAGATTTTTTACATCTTTAGAGTAAGATATCGTAGCTTTGTCAACTCAATAATATATGTGTGTGTAGATTTTTGAGTTCGTTAAAGATTCCTTTACCAACCTGAAACATCAAAAATTTAAGAAAATGGGCCAAAATACGGTTTTTTCACAATTTTTCGGTCAACAATCACAACCTCCACAATGGATCTCGAATTATGGACAAAGACATACGAGAGACATATGCATATTATGTTTTTAAGTCAACGAAATTATAATATCTTATTTTAAAAATGGAAAAAATCGAATTGGTTGGAATGGTTTTTACACACTTTGGCGCTTTGTGGACAAGAAATCATGATTTAACAACAGAATCAAACATGCATTTCTATAGTGGATTATTGTGTTAACCAAGTATTTATTTTGTAACTTCTAACAATAAAAATTGAGGAAAATCAGCGAAAATACGGTGCTTCGTTCCAATGGAACCTGAAAGAATCCACTAAACTAGTTTTCAAACTAATATCATACTCTGAAATTGAAAAAATCGGTGAAAATGCGGTTTTCCGATTTATGGTGATTTTTTGGACAGGGAATTACGACAACAGAACTATGTAAAAAATTGATTTCCTAACTAAAAACGTAAAAAAATGTAGCTCAGCGAAATTGCGGTTTTTCATACTTTCGCAATTTTCCTGGCAAAAATTACAATTCTGACAAAAAAACAGAATAATGGATAAAAATGCATACGCGCTTTGAGGTTTTGAGCTAGACAACAAAAAATACCTGAAATTGCGAAGATTGCTGATAATGCGGATTTTCCGATCTCTGCAATTTTCAGGACAAGAAACATTATTTCAACAACGCAGCTCAAAATAACGTAAAAAATGCATCCATACAATTGGATAGGTGTTTAAATACGCGTTTTCCAATGTACGAAATTTTCCGGTAAATAAATAAAGATTTGTGTGATTATGGAACCTGAAATCGTGGACAAAAATAGATATATACAAGCCCCTTCAAACTTCAGTTGGCCACTTTAAGATTTGTACCAAAATATGCATTTATAAACTAAACACGACGAAACTATTTACTTCTAAAATAATTTATTTCCTCAAAATCGTTTTAGATAGACTCTAGTCGTAAAAAATACATATTTGAAATCACTTAGACCTATAACTGATAGAAAATCTGAACAAATCAACACGTGCGAATAAATGCACGAAGTTAACAAAGCAACAATTCAAAGATTACCATTGGGTGACATCACCTTTACTTTTTATTACGGCTGAAATTCTTTGGGGCATAGTGTTAACTAAGTTTTGGCAAACATTTGGTGTAAATGTAAATCCTCCACTAAAAATTATCGACCAATAAGTCTCGTTCCTATCGCCGCCAAAATAGCTGAAAGAATCATATTAGATAAGCTGCTGTCATTTGCTTTCGAAAATGACCTTATCCCTAAGAATCAGCATGGATTTCTCCCTGGTCGATCAATAATGACCAACCTTCTCCACTCTCTCAACGATTGGACTCAGTATCTGGACACAAAGACTCCTGTTGATATAATCTACTTAGATTTTTCTAGGGCTTTCGATCGCCTACCACATAGAAGGCTTCTGTTTAAGTAGGAATGTATGGGAATAAGAGGCGAGTTGTTACTGTGGATTAAGGCTTTTCTCACCGGGAGGACTTTCTCTGTGTGCGTCAGTGATAGCCAGTCTCACCTTCATCATGTAGCAAGTGGAGTTCCTCAAGGCTCTGTCTTGGGGCCAGTGCTGTTCCTTCTGTATACAAGTGACCTACCCGCACTGATTTCCTCCACATGTTCAGCTTATGCCGACGACACCAAGATTTACAATACTGTCGTAAATTCTGCTATGCTTCAACGAGACCTTGATATTGTTTGTCAATGGTCAGTCAGTTGGCTTTTACCCTTAAATCTAACTAAGTGTTGTGTCCTTCACCTTGGGAAGACAAATCCGCGATTTACATACAAGATCTCTGACCACAACATCGAAGCAGTTTCCAGCCACACTGATCTGGGCGTCGTAGTCAACGATCGTCTTTCCTGGTCAGAGCATATTCACCACGTTACATCAAAAGCCAAGAAACTTCTATACATGCTGGAGAGGTCTTTCAAAGGATCCGATGTCAACACTTGCGCCTACATTTACAAGGCATTCGTGAGGCCAATTCTTGAATTCGCTGGTCCGATATGGGACACTGTGCTTCTGCGCGATAGAAATCTCGTCGAATCAGTACAGCGTCGGGCTACTCGTATCCCTTTTGGAGCACGAAGACCAAGCTATGAAGATCGCCTTGAATTATTCAACCTGACCTGATTCTCTGAGCGAAGACTTCGTGGCGATCTTATAGTTACGTTCAGGATACTTCATGGTTTGATGGGCACCAACCTCATGCATCTATACCGTCTGTCGCGCAGCAATCTACGCGAACACAGCTTCAAACTGCATAAGGAGCCATTTAAAACAACAGTCCGACAGTGGTTTCTTCCCAACCGCATATTCAACACCTGGAATAGTTTACCTGAAAGTGTGGTTGGTGCTACTTCAGTTAATAGCTTCAAAGTGCAGTATGATAGCTGGAGGAGTGTACAAACTTTATAGCTATGAACTGTCTTTTTTTACTTTTTTCTATTTGATGTATTTGTGTTACGTGTCCGTACACTATATTTACTGCATGAGCTTATAGTAGTGCGTACTCTGCTCATCTCAATTATCATAATAATAATAATAGTAATAATGATAATAGTAAAACAATCCCATTTTTCTTGATGCTTTTGTCTCAGTTCGGTGATTGTACGAGCAGGATGTTGTCGTAGAACCGTTTTCATCTCGTGCCACAAAGTTTCAATAGGTGACAGATCTGGACTGCAGGAAACCCATTTCAAAAGTGGTACATTATTTTCTTCCATCCATTTTATAGCCTTTTTGAGGTATGTCACGCTGCACCATCTTGCTGAAGCAGAAAATCTTGGCCGTATGTCAAACATTCTTCCATGACTGGTAAAAGAGATTCTTTTAAAATTGCCAAACATTTGTTTGTATCCACATTACCATCAATAAAATGAAGTTTTCCTACTCCTTTTGATGACATACTGCCCCAGACTATAATGGATGCTGGAAATTGCACTTTTCTCTTCAGACAGTCAACATGGAATGCTTCATAACTCTACTGCGACTGTCACCAACATAAACTTCGAATCGGGCCTCATCACTCCATTGTATTGCACACCATTGTTGAGGTATCCATTGTCTATGTTCTTTAGTCCATCTAAGCCGATTTTTCTTTTGCAGTGGTGTTAATACAGGCTTTTTTTGGCCTATAAGCAAGTTGTGCAACTTTAGGGTTTTTACTTCACTTTGTTTTATAAGAAAACTCACCTTGCGAGTGCTAAATCCCAGTTTGTGGGTCTCTCTACGAGTTGTGGACCTCGAAATTCTCCTTCCAACAGCGTCACACCACAAGGCTCTTAATTGTAAATAATTGGCACGCCTGGTTTTCACGATTATTCTTCTTAATGCTCTTCGGTCGGTATTTGTGATATTACTTTTTTCACATATCCTGGCTTAATACTAACTGAATCAGTTACGCTATATCTTCTAACAATATTTCTCACACTGTACCGCGATAAGTCTGACAAAGTTGCAATTTCTGAGTTTGATTTCCCAGAATTAAATTATCAGTAACCGAATTTTCTCACTAATAACCTTTCCTCTACCCATTTTGAAAATCTTAACTTCCCAAAACTATTTTCAACGTATTCTGACAGCTGTGATTAATAAAAACAATTGTTATGGCTTTTATTTCTCACAGCCACCTATGCGTTATAGACTTATTTTGCATTGAAATGGAAATAGGTTGATATGCTGTAATTGCAACATGTGTTATTTTTATGCTGCAAATGAGATTAGGGAGTGATATACTACTATATATTATCAAAATATTCTTTGTTAATATTTTAAACCTACATTTGTATTATTTGTGTTTGATAAGAAAAAAACTAAGATTTCAATAGTTGGGTCAACTGAAGTGGGAAGGGGCTCGTACGCTGGATATTTAAGCTAATGAACTTTATGATATCCTACATCTTTCCGACCAAAGGACAGCCATGTTCAGTTTACTACGTTAGAAAGCAAGTAGATCACATCTGTTATACAGCCAGAATTGTCAACCATCTAGCGGTCACACGGACTACTAAGTGCGAACTGATAAGCTCTACAGCTTTAACAAATAGCTGTTATGCGCTCTACGCGGTGGTGGATTTTGGTGACGAGATGGCGATTTGCGGTGTCTTATTTGGATTGATCGAACCTCCTTGATAGTTCCGATGCTTTCGAGACGACAGACCAGGCTAATGAGTAGCTAAAAAGCGCGAAACAGCCGCCCATGGTTGGCTGTCTTTCGGTCAGAAAAATGAAGCATCATGCTTAGTATACAAAATCCTTGCCACGCATGAACCCAATAAACCCATAACGTCAACTAGCTGTGTATTTTTTTATCGATTGATTTATGTACTTATTGGTTCAACGAAATGAAAATATAATTATACAAATCAAGTTAAAATCGCTCTTTCGGTGAATTATTAACCACTGCGGCGTTCTAATAAGATTATAATAACCATAATTTTAGAGATATTTAGCACTATAACTGTGAGTTAGTCAGCATTTTGACGTAATCTATAACCCATAAAACGTAAATGATTGATTGAACGCATTTTTTACGACATTATTTTTGCAATATAATCTGTTTGCGATTGAGTAGTTCTAGTTGTTTCCGTTGATATTGTGCACATTGCCAGGTAACATAATTTTTAAAATACTAACGTCTGTCCCAAAAGTATTGGCACAAAGTTCATTTGTTTTAATTTTAACAAACACAAAATAATATCAAGTTGCCTTTGGAAACAAGGGTTTGTTTACTAACTGTACTGTCCGTTGACATTTATCTTATTTTGAAGTTTTCGCTTTAAGATGTATAAATTAGAAATAAGAAAAGGTATCTATAAGTTGGACTGTTATGGCTATAAAGATCTTCTAGCGTATGCTTTCCTCCTGGGCTACCACTAATAGTTGGTTGATACATCCGAGGATTCATTTTATTGAAAACTAGCACGGCAAGTTGAAAAAATTAATTTTTGTATTATTTTGCTTCAATATGAAAACTTTCATTAAAGTTTGACCAATACTGAAAAAGGTTTTCCACTTTTCGGGCTACGCAATCATTAGTTCGTCGAGCGAGACTCTGTACCCAACAAAATGGGAATGTATTTGAATACCTATTGTAAAGCTAGTTTCAAGTATATCCAACTGTATGTCTTCTTTTTTAAACAAATTTCAATTTCGTTCGTAGAAAAAATTTATTTATTTTGTTTTTGCCTAAATGTTCGCTATGTTGCAATAGAAATATGTATTTATGTAATATTTACCAATTATTAAATTAGTTTTTTCGTTGCGACGGCTAATTATTCAACAATTCATTTAAATTCGCAGTACATTTCGTATCATGTGACAAATTTTTAGGTTTGATTTTATTCAAAAATGGCACCATTTATCGATATTCAATAAGAGTACCATTTTTATGTAGAAAACCCCAAATTTTCACACAAAAATGTTGGGGCTCAAATAACCTAAGTCCGTCCCTGTTACATTCGCTTCCAAACAAAACTGTCTAAAATTGTTAATATTTTTAAATCCACCATAAAAAACTAGGCTAGGATACCAAATTTTAAGTCTTTATCTCAACATGTTTCGGAAATATTAAGGAAAAACCATCTTCACGGGAGCCCCTTCAAAAGACCGTAGCGCCCTTAGGGGACGTTTGTCGACCAATGTTTATATAAGCTTTTCTTCCTATTTTGAGCTCTGGAACCCGCTGGTAAAATATTGCACACTTTTTTCGGGACACCCTGTATAGGTAAGTTTTTGTTACTTGGGAGGTCAGCCCAAAGCCTACCTTCTCTTACGTTTGACGTGGTACCTATTGGACACCCTGTATAAAGGGATACTGGTAGTCTTACTTTGACCCACCAAGGACGGTGACTGCAACTCTATCAGGAATCATAGGAGTGTTTTCTGTAGTCTAGCTAATAATCTGTGCTACGTACACTACTCAAATTTATACAAACTGTCAACTTGTCTGTCATTTCGTTCAATTTTTCGTTTCAGACTCAACATGAATCAACCGAAGCTGTATTCTCAAAGCAACAAAACGCAACTAACGGACAACACCGATATGTTGAACAGCCACATGAAGATGATAGAATGGCACAAGGAAGAAAACATTCTAGAAATAGGCGTCGGTGATGGCAGATGCACAATAGAGCTCCTGATTCCATCGTTTCCTAAAGATTTTCATAGCTACGTAGGAACGGACGTATCAGAAAGCATGGTTGCATTTGCTCAGGAAAACTATAAGTTGCCTAGGGTGAAGTTTATGAAACTGGATATTCAGTCTCCTGATATTCCTTCAATGTTATACGAGAAGTTTAACCACATATTTTCCATGCTGTGCTTACATTGGGTCAGGAATAATAGGTATGGTCTTTGAGTTTGTGAGTCTGATTTTGGGTGATAACTACATAAGGTTTACATGCTATATCCATATCTTGAACGTAGTTTACCTATTTTTTTTACAATTTGTGAAAAGCTTAAGTTGTGTCACCTGGAACACAAAGTGCAAATAGTGAAACCCATGGCGGGTTTATACAACTTCTTAATACTGATAGTTATAAGCATAAACATCAGAACACGTAAACTAATAGTTATAACAATTAAATGCATGTTTCTTTTAGTTAAGAAAAATGTTTTCATATTTCTGAGAGTCTACACCGAAAAAATAATTAAAAAATCTTTCTTGTTTTTTTAAATAAAGAAATTGAAAGAAGGATTTTACATGAATATGTATATGATACAATATGCATCGCATTAAAAAATAATCATCAAGTTTAAGTTTGTAACTTTATTGGCAAAAATAATGAATACATACAAAAATGCTATTTTACATGAAAAACGCGAAAACAGTTATTTCTTTTTTCATTAAAACAGAGGTTTATTTTACACTTGGCACATGAAGCATATGTAATAATAATAATAATAATAATAATAATAATAATGTTTATTGGAGTATTAATACATAATAGAATCAAAATACGAGCAAATAATATAACACAAAAAATAATACTCCAAAGGGCTGGGGATTGGCATAGCCATTTTTCACCCCCGCCTGAGTATGTATATATATATATATATATACTAAGGTATATCATATACATTACATAAAGGATATTTGGTTGACTATAATAATGCTAACAAAACTTTAAAATATAATAAGATTAATAATGAGATTTATTCAGCCACTTGTGGATTCATTAAATTGTAACTGTAATAGCATTCTTTTGAATTATCTTTTGAAGCTGTGAATGGACGTTAATTTAAAGAAACTTGGGTAATCATTTAGTATACTGGGAGCTATGTAATAGAAACATTTTTTAAATTTTGAGGTAGTGTGGGCTGGTATATTATAACAATATTCATGTCAAACCCTTATCGGTAGGATTTTTGTACTGTCTCTCTGTTTGCCATCCACTCAGGCCGATGCTCAATCGCATCTCTTCTACGTCAAAAGGTGGTATTGTAGTAGCTAGATTTCTTTGTTTATTTATTTCTAAAACTCCTTCTTGAATAGGAACCAATAAAAACCTTTCTTCTATGTTTTTTATTATTGGTCGAATTTTATGGGGTTGTCAAATCCTGATTGGCCTGGAGAAACTTGTGTCTCGTTATTATTGAAATGCAGATTTGCACGTATTTTTTACCGTATTAAAGTCATCAAGTTGCATGAAAAATCTGGATCAGATGCATGCGCGCTGACAAAGCTTTTTTAGATTCTTGCAACCGCTGGGCTTTGCAGGAAAAACAGCCAAATAGATTCTTCGTGTAAGACTGCCTGGAATAGATTGATTTTCATGTATCTCCGGCAGTTGTTTTCAAGTGTGTATGCGTCTGGTTGACTGTAAAACGAGTATAACACATCATCGTGGGGTACGGGGTATTGTGGAGGGTATGGACTCTGATTCTAGGAGCCTATTTAGCTGACGTGATTGTGTTTTGTTATACGTCTTTCTAAGAGAGGGATTTTCATCACCTGGAGGCATCCTGGCCTGGGAAGTGTATAGTTAACTAACTTGACCTACTTATGTCATTTCCCAGTGTAAATACCTTAAGAAATTTCAAATCGGATGTCCCCATGATACGTTTGTATTCTTACTCTATTATTGCGGGTATTCCGTATAGAGTGGTTTTTCCAATTATTTTAATGTGTTCGAAAACACATTGTTCTTGGAATAACCGATGTAATTATTTGAAATCAGATGTGATATAACTGATTTAATATAGCTGTATTTGCCGTTTAGAGTGCCTGTGGTATGAACATAGGAATTCGGAATATTTCATACACTTTATTACAATACATAATAACAGATATGTTTAACCATCCACTATTTTCAGTTAGTTCAAAAAACCCAAATAATTTTATATTGTTAAATGTAAATTGTTAATCTGTTATTGCGGGTATTTCCGTATTTTCCAATTATTTTATTTTGCCTTAAAATTTCTTAGCGATACCAATGCGATTATTTGACCTCATAGCCGCTTCACACGATCCATTAAATTGAACAATTTTTTGGCCTTGGAAAAGTTGAAGCGTGTGAACACAAAAACTGTTGTACAATTTCTTCACAACAACAAATGCACGAATAAGTTGTTAGATTAGAGCTTGGTCTAATTCTCCAAAATTTTATGGGGAATTCTAGTTACCTCTGTTTTTCTCCCTAAATACCAACCTTTATTATTTATTCACGTTTAATGATTTGAGATTAAAATTATAATCTTCACAGTTCGGCTTGGCGCTTTTCTCTTAATTTAGAATCTAATATTTCAATAAAAACAATCAGTATGTGAATATATTGTCATATTTCTTTGATTTGGTTCATTATACGAGCCCCTTCCCACTTCAGTTGGCCCACTTCAAGATTTGTACCAAAATATGCCTTTATAAACTAAACATGACGAAACTATTTACTTCTAAAACAATTTATTTTCTCAAAAACATTTTAGATACACTCTAGTCATAAAAAATACATATTTGAAATCACTTAGACCTATAACTAATAGAACATCTGAACAAATAAACAATGTGCGTATAAATGCGCGAAGTTAACAAAGCAACAACTGAAAGATTCACTGGACAACAAATTTTAGTTTTTTAATTGTATCTTGTGGGAAAAGTGCACTTCTTTGTTAATTTTGGGGCGCTGAATCCAAAACTGACAATGAAATGAAAAAATTAGTTGCGGTTTAGAAAAAAAACTTTATTTTTAAGGATATATTAAAAAAAGTAACAAGATTCATATACTTATAAGAATCACTATATGCGCTGTCTTTTTGCTGTTCTTTTATGGATCGTTTCTGGAGCATATCTACCAAGAGTCCAACAGTAGTCTGCAAGCATGGAAGGATTCCACTTTCCCTGGTACCTTTTTTCCATTGTTGAAATATCCTGATGAAAACGTTCGCCGTGCTCATCACTTACGGCTCCGCAGTTGTCAGGAAAAAAGTCCAGGTGTGAGTGTAGGAAATGTATCTTAAGAGACATATTACAGCCCATCTTTTGGTACGATGACAGCATATTTTTGACAAGGGTTTTATAGTTGTCAGCTTTTCTATTTCCCAAGAAATTAGTGACCACCAGACGGAAATCATTCCAAGCAGTTTTTTCAATACCTGTTAAAGTGTTTTCAAACTGTGTATCTTTCAAAATATTTCGAATCTATGGCCCAACAAAAATACCTTCTTTAACCTTTGCCTCACTTAGTCTTGGAAATTTCTGACGCAGGTATTGAAAAGCTGACCCATCTCTATCTAATGCCTTGACAAAGTTTTTCATTAGGCCCAACTTGGTATGCAGTGGTGGTAATAAAATTTTTTTCGAATCTACTAATAGCATATGCTGTACATTTTTTTGACCTGGCTCTAGGAATTGACGAACAGGCCAGTTTTGTCTGGTGTAATGAAGTGCCTTTGCCCGACTGTCCCATTCACACAAAAACCAGCAAAACTTTGTGTAGCCTAGCTGCAGCCCAAGTAAAGGTGCAACAACTTTCAAATCGACACAAATATGCCATTGGTGCTCATCGTATTTTATGCATGTCAATAGGTACTTCATATTGTCATATGATTCTTTCATGTCAACTGCATACCCTACAGGAAGAGATGGTAAAATATTTCCAATATGCAATAACACTGCCTTTAAACTCAATGTTGAACTGTCTATAAACAATCTGCATTCTTCTGGGTTATAGTTTATATTTAAAGCCGCCAGTAAGCCGCTAATGTTATTGCAGAAAACCAAGTTATTCTCCATATTGAAAAATGGTTCTAAGTCTTTGTGGCGTTTACGAAAAACTCATACCGAAACATCGTCTTCTAACAAGTTCCACTGCTGCAGTCTTGATCCAAGTAACTCTGCCTTACATTTTAGAAGTTCTAAATCTCTTACAAGATCATTTAATTCTGACTCTGTTATTTTGTGCGGTTGGTAGCATGACGTACTCGGTATAAAATCAGGATCTCTTGACGTTGATGGCATATCTTTTTCCTGACGAATCACTCGATCGCCATGATCTGATTCGTTTTCTGATTCGCAAGTGTAGGATTCTGGGGGTTTTGGAATAGGATTTTCGTCACTGTGAGGCACAGGTCTCATCGCAGATGGTATGTTTGGGTAGTTAATAACCGATTTTTTTTTTTTGGACATACCTGTGGCTTGTCCAACACAAGGTACCATGCAAAAGTAACAATCATTAATATGATTTGTAGGCTCTCTCCAAACCATTGGGACAGCAAAGCGCATAGACCGTTTTTCTCCATTTAACCAGCTCCTCAGACTTGAAGCACATGTATTACAGCAGATGTGGGGTGCCCACTGTTTATCTTGGTCACCTAGTTTACAACCGAAATAAAGCTGATATGCCTTTGTTATTAGTGGAGTAATAGACCGTCTCTGAGACGCGAAAGTCACATCACCACACACGTAACAAGACTGATCTGGATTGTTTACACACTTTCGAGACATCTTGCATGAACGCTGTCAGCCAACTGAGGAAAAAATGGCTAATATAAAACAATATAATGTACACGTATGTATAACGTAACACAATCATGCCGATTACATCATCTTTCCTTGCCGAATATAAAAATGTAGCACGTGCATTCTTGTGAATTACAGTATATCAACACTGTCACAGCAGGAACACATATAATTACCGTATCTCTAAAACTTGAACTAATATTGAAAAAATAAGTTTCATTCCGATTTTAGCACCTTAAAAATAGTAATATTTTGTTGATTTTATTTAGGATATTTTTTGGCTGTTGATCAGTGTTACCATTGGGTAACCTTTATTTTTTATTACAGCTGAAATTCTTTGGGGCATAGTGTTAACCAAGTTTTGGCAAAGTTTGGTGTAAAACAATCCCATATTTCTTGAAGATTTTGTCTCAGTTCGGTGATTGTGCGAGCAGGATGTTGTCGTAGAACCTTTTTCATCTCGTGCCACAAAGTTTCAATAGGTGACAGATATGGACTGCTAGAAACCCATTTCAAAAGTGGTACATTATTTTCTTCCATTCATTTTATAGTCCTTTTTGAGGTATGGCACACTGCACCATCTTGCTAAAACACAAAATCTTGGCCGGATGTCAAACATTCTTCCATCATTTCCATTTGTTTGAATCCACATTTCCCTCAATAAAATGAAGTTATCCTGCTCCTTTTGATGACATACTCCACAGACCATAATGGACTCTATACACTTTACTAAAATACAAAATAACAAATATTTTGATAATCCTAATTCACATTTCCAGGCAAGCAGCTATAAACATGTTCAACATGCTGAGACCGGGCGGAGAAATCCTTTGCAGCTTAGTAGAACAAAATTCCATAGACGATGCATTCTTCAACCTGTCGAAGAACCCTAAATGGGCCCCCTATGGCCACGAAAAGTACTTGACAAGGTATTTTTTCACAGAAGACGTAGCCAAGGAATGGGAAAGGCATTTGATCGGCGCTGGTTTTGAAGACGTTAAGGTCATCAAGGAGGAGAAGAGCTACGTGTACGATTCTGAAGAGAATTACAAAAGTAAGTGGGAGGAAGAAATCTACGGTCTCTCTAATCCAACTGTCTTGAAGTTCTACGGAACAACGTGCTGATAAGAGAAAAAAGCTTAAAAAATATAAAACATGTAGCACGCTTTGTAACAGTTAACTTATAAGAATGACAGAAAATAGGGACATTTTTGCAAAGTCTTACTATACATTCCTAGCTAAGAGCAGTCTGTACACGTATGGACCTGTTTCTTCATAAAGGATCCTCTGCATTTTTATTCGCACATTTCCTATATACGGCAATCTCGCAAGAAAATCTTTTAGTTACTCAGCATAATGATGTCTTAAATTCCTGAACACATTCGCCAACTCCACCGTTTCCCTTTTCAGACTTCTACCTCGCCTGCAACCCGATAGTCAAACAGATTCCGTGCGAGAGTACAAGCGAATACCTGAACGACTTCTTTGAGGAGTGCAAACGGGGACCGATGACGGAGATAACCTATTCCGATGAAAAGAAACAGCCTGTCTATAAGCTAAACTACGTCAGGATAGTGATGTATGCGAAAAAGCCGTGTGAATAGGATTGTGATTTTTATTTATATTTTGTATTATATTTATTGTATCTACGTCGTCGGATACAACTTACTGTTTAAACCGTTGTTTTTATACGATAAATTAAAGTATTATTCAATATAAATGTTTTCTGTAGCGTCCCTGAAAAATTACCTTCCTTGTACAATAGCTCAAGCTTAATACGTGATTTTGAGCAAGTCTGACTGGTGATTATACAGGGTGTCCCTTAATAATATACGAATATTTAAGGGTGTGAATCTATATGAAAAATTAGTGTTAGTTTGCTTTATAAACTATGGACCAAAAATGTCTCCTTACAAAGACTCGGGGTGTTGAAGTTTTAAGAAGAAAGTGGAAATTAATATTTCCAGAACCGCTTTTGATATTTCACTGATATTGACTTTGATATTTTTTAAGAAAAAGATGGTACGCCGATGGTTTTTGAAAATTATCTTTAAATTCCCCGTTCAATTTAAAACAAATGATCTTTGTCGAGTTGCTTTCCTTCGATGGGCCTTTTTTGAGTAAAATAATAAAAACCGTTTTATTGTCTAACTAGCAAAATTATTATTAATTTAATTGGAAAAATTAAACACATTAGGGGTAATGAACAACGACAACTGACAACATAAACATAACATTAAAACCAACGAAATGATTACAAAAATTTTTGAAAATGGCTCCGTTCACTTAGTGATTGAGCAGTCGTTGAAATATCCCTGATGTGTTTTTTATTCTATCACAAGCTGCAACTATTCTTTCTCTTAATTCCTCTACAGTGTTAATGTTATTTGTGTACACTAGTGTCTTAACCTTAACTTAGCGATCACAGTTGGACAATGCTGCCCTTGGTAGGGCATTTTTCTGATACAAAAATTAAGAAAATCGTAAATACTATTAAGTACGAAAAACTTGAACGAGAACTTGCTGGCTGCTATTGGAATTTTGGTGAGAATATGGAAAAAATATATGACAACATAATAGGAAATATAAAAACTTGTTTAGATCTTGCAACTGATAAAAAAGTGATTTGCTCGACAAAAAATACACCCTGGTATATCAAGAATGTTAAGGCAGCTCAAAATTTGAGAGACAAACAATACAATAAATGTATATTCACAAAATCAAATGATGATTGGGAGGTATATAAAACTCTTAGGAATAAATGTGTGTATACAATTAGAGAAGAAAAAAGGAAATTCTACGATAAACAAATCGATAATAACAAGTGCGACAGTGTAAAGATGTGGAAGACTTTAAAAAGACTGATCAATTCGAAGCCGCATGATTGTGTAAATCAAGTTCAATTCGAAAACGGTACCGAAACAAATTCTTTGGTGATTGCAAACAAACTAAATGAATATTTTGTGGAAGGTATTGTTGATATTGTGGATACTGCCAATGCTGCACCTGACTATATGAAAATTAGTTTCCAGGGGGAAATGTTGCATACACTTTCAAAATTTCACAGCGTATCATTGAATTATCTAAGAAAAAAAGTAAACAGTTTAAAATCAAATAACAACTGTGCCGAAATCACTACTAAAAACGTGCTGAAAAACTGTTTCGAAATTTTGGGATATCCTGTATTAAATTGGATCAATTGTTCACTGAGAAGCAGTTTTTTTCCTGAAAATTTGAAATGCTCCACAATAACACCAGTTCCAAAAATAAAAAATTCTAAAAGATGCAGCGATATGAGACCAGTAAATGTGTTACCAGACATTGAAAAATTATTAGAGTCCATAGTGCATGACCAATTAATGCAGTTTATAGAAGAAAACAAAATTTTAGTGGAGGCGCAAGCAGGTTTTCGAAAAAAATATTCCACAGAAACGGCTTTTCAGTTGGTAACTGAGAATTGGAGAAGAGCCATAGACTCAGAAGAAGTTGTCATAGCAGTATTTTTGGATTTGAAGAGGGCATTTGAAACGATTGATAGAGATATTTTGTTAGGTAAATTGAAGGCATATGGTATAACAGGAAGTGTTCTAGATTGGTTTAGAAATTATTTGTCTAAAAGGATGCAAGTTACAAAAGTTAATGACACTATTTCATCAAAAATTGCAAATACGTTGGGTGTTCCACAGGGCAGTATCCTGGGACCACTTCTTTTTATTTTATACATAAATGATTTACCTGCCATAGTCAAAAAATGCAAAATTCAGATTTTCGCCCATGACACTATGATTTATATAAGTACTAAAAATATACAGTCTGGTATCTCTTATATAAATGAAGACTTGAAACTTGTCTCAAAATGGTTAGCATCAAACAGACTAAAATTAAATGCAAGTAAAACGAAAGCCTTGTTAATCGGAAAAAAACAATGTACAAATGTTCAACTGAATATTGGTGGTGAAGATATCGAATTTGTAGGAAATTTTAAATACCTGGGGGTTTTTGTTGACTCTCGATTAATTTTTGATATTCATTATGAAAAAGTTATAAATATGATTAGTAGTAAAGAGGGATATTTATCGAGAGTTTCTGGATGTCTGAGTTCATATAGCAGAAAAATTATCTATAATACCATCATTCTTCCAAATTTCTTGTACTGTTCGACTACTCTATATTTAGCAAATAATTCCATTTTTGAAAGACTGCAAATTTTACAAAATAAGTGCATGAGAATAATACTAAATAAAGATAAATAAACTCCAATTAGGCAAATGCTTAGCAAATTAAAATGGCTCAATGTAAAAAATTTTTTCAAATATCTTGTAATGATATTCATTTATAAAGTAAAAAATAATATATTTCCATCAAGTCTAACTAATTTAACATCATCAAATGTCGACCATCATTTACGTAATACCAGAAATAAAGATGAATTCCATGACCAAAAAGTATAACATATGCTACAAATGTGTAT